ATTTGCTGTTAAAGTGATACTTAAGGTAACTAAAAGTGATACTTCAGTGAAACTAATGTAGACGGTAACTGCTGAGAAATTTTGATGACACAATATACATTTTACAGCAGCATAGTATGAAACATTTCAAAATATGATTTTTATTTGTGTTGTACATAATCACATCAAACTAAATCTGGAAAATAATGGATTGAGGAATTTTTCAGTAACATGGTCAATACATGATGTAGAAATTTGGGTTAACCAGCTGGTCTTGGTGTGACATGTTATCTTTCGCCTCAATACTGAACATTGAAACCCCATATTGTTTGATGTAATTGATAACACTATGAACATATTCTTTTTAGACATACATGGATAGCTTTTTGTTTAAACTATATCATGTACCACTTTGATGTCGATTGACTTTTTCTTTTTGTATCATTGGATATTTCAAACATTTTTTGTGTTGCTGAATTATAGCATTTGAACTGTGATTGATATTCCATTGTGCTATTGTTAATATAAAGTTGTCAATGATCGTAATAATAAATCATGAATAATCGAACATTTTGGAAGATAGAAATTGCCAATACGAAATAAAATCAGTTTAGATTATCACAATATCAAGAAATTAGAGATAGAAATTTATATTAAATCAAAAAAGGAGAGGGATATTAGGAAATGTTGAAACAAAATGAAAAAATTAATTACGGTCCAACCTCATATTGCATGGGTTACGACACCTCAATACACTCCAGAGAAATACTACTAAATATTATGTATAGTTTTTTTTATGTATTTAGAAAATCATGAAAATTGACTGAATGAGTCTGTTGAAATTGATTCAAATTGATAGCTCAATATATACCATTTTTTGTGAAGATATCCCTGAAACAGATATGTCTGTCTTTAAATAGAATTCACATGGCAGGTTTTTGGTCTCAGATTTATTAAAAGTAATCATTTATTCTTTCTAGTCTTTTTTTTTTTGTGATAATATCAATCCTGTTTATGTTTATATATGGAAAAAATGAGTGTTTTCATGACTATTTAAACTACTTTCTGGATATGTTTGTTTCGCAGGTAATTATTCTGGGATGCATATTATGTTTACCCAAGATGCTGATAATGTATGTTATTTTATTGGACTTTATTTGGTCATGGTATCGACACATTTGATTTTGATTCATATGGACAGTAAGATACAATTAATGTAAACATACTTTATTTGCCTATAAAATTTTAGTGCATGATTGTTTTTGTCAAATTTGAACTATGATGAATTTGTGCATCCACAACAATTATCGCATAAACAACATTCCAAAACTGTTATTAGCGCATATTGTAGCTTAATATTGCAAAAAAGAAAAAAAAATTGGAAAGTAAGATTACCATTAGGTATGTATGTTTGCAGAACAATAGAAATGTGTCAGACTAATAAAAGGGGATGGTATTAAACTAGTTCCTGATATGTAATACAAAAATGAAGATGAGGTCTGCGAATTTAACTTTTCTTTTAAAATTTTAAAATACTTCTCATTAGTTTAGAACAATTAAATTTCAGTCAAACCAAATAATGAGAGAGATAGGTGCCTTTGCAGGCCTCTTGATATTTTTTGTTCTTTGTATTTACTTGTAGTCTGTTGATATGTGCTACAATCTGTACAGGAATGCTCAACACTTCAGTACCTTGGGTGTCGGTTTTGATGCTGCTTGATTATGTTATATCTTTCTTGTTTTGGTGTCACTTGTAGGTGCTCCCTTTACTTTTTCATGCCATTATTAATTTCAGATGATGTTGTTATACGTAATCAATGAAGTGGAACATTTTCTCTTATAAATTTCTTTTCATGCACTTTAACTGCTTAATATGTTTACAATGTTATTTTTTTAGAGTTAGGAATGGTATTCCAGATGTCACTATGTTGGTTAACATGTGCATGCCTAATTTTTCATTTCAGTTGAATTCCTCCGAAAGAAAATAAAGGAAATCTTTACGTGAAAAAAAATACGTGAAAATGTCAATTTCATTTCAAAATAGCTTATTGTTACTGTTCAAATCATGTGTAAAACTGTCCATTAAAACATAACAGAAGCGAGATTTTTACTTTTTATTGGTCTTTATTCGTAGAAAGGTGAATCAGATAATGATTATGTGACTTTATAGACATACTATGGTCTATCTGGTCAGCTAGCGCAGTAAGCGTTTAGCGATGAGAGCTTTTCATGAAGTGTCCTAAATATTATGAAACCCTGTCCTTAACTGGAATTTCAAGATAGATATGGATTCCTTTGAAACTATGTCAGAGAATAAATGAAAGGCAAGTTTTAATCCATTAAGTCCATCATACTTGAAAGAATTTGCTTGAAATCCAAGATGAAAACAAAACAAGATTTACATGACAGGTATGTTATTTTCCCCGCAGATAGTCATCTAATAACTTTATCCTTGACAACAGACATTATTACATTTTCTGCGTGCAAATAAAACTTGCTTATTAACGAAGGAAACCCCACCTATACATCATCCAATATTTTCAAAGAAAAATAATGGTTAATCATAATGCTTAATGCATTCATTGATTTATTGATAGTAAGGAAACTGCCTCTTTCGTTTGTATTGCTTTCCTAAACTTAACAAGAATCCAATCCATATAAACAGCGTTGTATTGATGGCCCATCATTTTCACAAACTTATTATGATACTATTTACTCAAGAAGTGGTATTTATGGTACGTGGTTAAAAAAACTAAAGAGCTCGGGACCAATTGTCAACTCCTTCTAAAGCATTTTTTGTAATTAGAACATTCGATTTTACCACTTTGAACACCACCTTACCCATTTTAAAACTAAAAATCTCGTTCTCTTGTTTTGAGACTTTTTCTAAGAAAGATGAACATCAGTACAAATATGAGGTTGTGAACTATACTGAAGCGTATTCGTGAAAAAATAAATCCATATTGGAGAAGAAACAGAAGGAGGACGAAATCACCTAAGTGATCGAGTTTCTGGTTAACCAAAGTTTTGTCGAGTTTGGTGGTAAGATCTTCCAACTGACTATTTGATCACCAATGGGAACTAACTTGGTTGATGAATATATTATGCACATTTAAATGCACCAATCCATCTTTATTTTGACTTTTCTTTCGATCACTTTGGATTTTCCTTAGTCGCCTCCTAGGCTTCAAAATGTATGCTCTTAGCATCACCGACGAGTTTTAGAAAGATGAAACAATTGTATGATATAGTTAAATTCATTATTTGGCTCTGCCGTATATAACTCAAAATTATCAAAAGGTGCTATTCATTCGTATACCATCTTTGAAATAGCAAGTGGCAGACACTGCTAGTGGACTCCGAGTTTTGCCTTAACCTGCATACCGCTTTTTTTATTCCTTCGAATACTAGCACGGTTCAGAATATCTTAAAGATCATCTCCATTTGGTTCCTAACGCAAATTTCAATGTTGTTTTGGTACATCGCTAAAGCGGACGTATTTGTACTTCGTCCATAAAAAAAATCGCAACACGAACGGGTTTTGTTGCTTGTGTGATGAAATTGTATATGAAAACATCTGCCGAAAAACGTTCCATCTCAAACTCAAAACACCGGGTCGCTGCATGACATCACGTCCATCAATGGAATCACATAAAAAATCAGAGGCTTATCAGTGTCGCTCTTGATTTCCATAATGCGACCATGGTTCGGTTCTGAAACGAGTGGTAATGTTTTTTTCATGTACAGAAATTTGATTTAAATGTTTTATGCTCGATTTCTTGTTTTAAATTGAATGTATGCCTGTAATTCGGTTATTTGATTACGTTTTTATGACAAAAAAGTAAATCTATAGAGTATCTGGGACATGAAAGTCAGTCAGTATTTTTTCAACGAGAATATTTGGGCGCTGTGACTAAACAACCTTTTCACGACAAGATGTATCGGCCTTTTATGCCATATTTCTAATCGTGATATCAATGGAGCATTTTTTCAAAGTAACTTTAATACCTTTTATGCTCGTTACTTAGCCTTTTGGTTCGGTTGTTGTATACATTTATCTCATTTGAGAACGTGACATTACTTACTCGGATTGACCAAGGTTTAGATTTTCATTTGTCTCCGTATAAATCTTTCTTTTGTTCATATTTTGCCCTAGTTTTATGGAATATGAATTTGAATTATGATGATGTTTCCATGTTGGTATTATCTTTATGTTTTTTTTTCACTTCTGGGGTTTTCTCGTTAGTAATTGCAGCTTTTAAACTTTCCACCATGAGAGAATAAACTGAGAATGTAGAGAATATAGTTTCTGCATGTAATTCTATGTGCTACAAGGAGTTTCAGCTACCAGAACAGAATTCAACTTTACAATTTTTGCACCTGAAAGGTTTTAATACGCAAACGAGGGTAGTTTCTGAGACTTGATATAGGAACAAGGATGGCGAACAAAAACCGTTGTACTACGACTCATTTGAAAATGTTCTGGCCAGAATTTAAGATACAACAAAGAATACTAAATATCGACAAATGATGTGATTCCGAATAACAAATAGATCAATATATAAATAATTATGATACTTTCGTCAAAATACTTACGGATCTATAATCAATATTTTTACGCGAATTGAAGGAGCACATATCAATTAAAGATAGAATCAGTCCTTCGAACTTCGCCGTCACATGCAGAATTCAAATTAAGGCTTTACTGAGACAAAACCAAATGTGATTTAGTATTTTGGAGTAGTATTTTAGAAAAATTGTGGCTACTTTCCGTGAAGCGAAGTATATTGGTGCCTTGTCGTATACAGACAAATCTACACTTGGGTAAATATGGCTATGATAAAAAGTTAATTACAGTATGTGCTACGTACCTTCATAACACTTCAAACCAGAATTACAGATACGCTTGTTTAAGCCAGAACAGATGTCTCTTCAAATAGTTATAATAATTAATAATAATTATTAAATTATTATCAAAAATGTATATCGAATTGAAACCATCCTTTGAGATACTAGTGTTATCAAAAGTTAGACTCCGCCTTTGATACTAATCCAAAATGGTATTTCCCACGACGAATACGTTTCAGCATTTTTTCCCAAAACAGTTTCTTAGCAGCGATATCTTTTTCCACATTTATTGTGTTACCTGTTATTGGCCAACGTAACGGACGAATCATATCCCATTTTTTCCGTACAAGTTTTGGAAATTCGCTTCTTTCTATATCACTTAACAGAATAATTATGTTCATATTCTCCCTTCCGTCGCGAAATGAATAAACACTGGTCAATTTCAGCGTAAATGTTGACCATTCACGTTCCAAAAAAGTAAAACTAACGACAAATACAGTTTGCCGTGAATTATCTATGGCGTCCATAATGTTATCAGCTTTGTCTCGACCAGGTGCAAAATTCTTATCTTCGCAACAATATTCGATTTCATTCTCTTCTAACCACGGGATGAATGTTTTTGCAACCCAACTGGAATCTTCGTCACAGTAAGATATGAAAATATCATTTGCGTATGTTATATGTTCTAGTGGTTGACGACAAAATACTCGTAAGCGCACACTCCGCTTCCATACCTCTCGGGTAAGTATACCGAATAAGAAGAAAACCATTATAAGGGTCAAGGTGATTATTAACCACAATTTAGATACACAACTATCCTGGAATTGGTCAAAAGATTTTAAGAATTTTCCAATCTTCATTTGGCTGCCTCCTGTAGTAAAACATGTAAGTTCTTCCTTTTTGTATATAACCTTTGTTGATTCTATCCACGAAATGAAGTTCAAATTGTCACAGCTACACACAAGAGGATTCCCCAACAACAAAATAGTGAAGTCTTCTGATTTTGATTTCAATTTTTCTAGGAAAAAATATTCTGTATCGCTTAGTGTCGTAATGAAATTGTTACTCAGATCTATTCTCTCTATCGCAGTAACATTTTCCAGCATTTGTAAAGGAATGTGGTCCATGTGATTTCCAGCAAGACTTAACGACTTAAGAGATTCCACTTGATCTGCGAAAAGGTCGACGTTTATGCTAACGATATTGTTTGACGAAACATCGATGACAGAAAGATTATACAGTCCCTTGAATAATGAAGTCGCCGGTGTAGCAAGGAACATACCTAGATTACACTGACTTGCTGTGAGTCGTGATATCTTCGGAAATTCAGAAAACATTTTAGGGTTCGGATTTGAACAATCGATACCGGACATGTTCAAATCTTTCAAATTTACAAGGCCTTTGATTATTGAATAAGAACAAGAAGGGTGTCCATTTGAATAACTTATATCCAACACTTTGAGATTGTTATCTGCAATCGTTAAATTGATTAAAGATCCTGAAATTCCACTGTGCGTCATGTTAAAGTAAATCAAGTTCTTTGGTAGAAAAATGATCTTTTTCAATCCAGTTGAAATGCTGCGTTTCCCAACAGAGACAATCTGTGTATATTCAAAGTGTACATGAGTTAACGACGAGAAAAGCACCATAAGAGGTAGAATGTGTGGATAATAGACCCGATTATATGAAAGATCTAACACCTCAATGCATGTCTTACTACTCCATGTTGTTACAGCCTCGGTGCTGATAGTTAGTATAGCATTATGGGTAAGATATAGTCTTTTCACACATATAGATCGAAGGTAAAGTGTATCTGTTTTCTCAAGACTCACACCTTTAGTAAACATCCGTCGGAATCCAACCATTGTCAGGGAATTCATGACTGTGTGTCGCAACCCGTAGAGTCCCTGAAGGGCATCCTGTATTGTCATGGTGTAATTGCTTTCGTGTAATTTTAATGTTGAAAGTCCTCTAAAAGGCGATAGGGCGTTTTTCTCAATCTTCCTGATATATGCTCTTATAGACAATTCTGTTATGTTTGATTGATTTAAGCCTTGAAATGACGCATTTAATAAGGACACACTTTCTATCCCAATAAATGACAGCGATAGCTTTTGTAGACAACGTAGGTTTAAAAAGCCATCTCCGAAGGCAAACCCATCAAAAATATCCATAGAAAGAATTTCAAGGTGTGAAATGGTCGATAAAAGGTCCTCGGGATACATTTTCTTTATATGAAAGTAATTGCTCTTAATATCTAATGATTTCAGTTTATGCAGAGATTCAATACTTTTCGGAGAAATTGAGAAATGATTAATTTTGTTGTCTGAAAGATCAAGGTTTTCAATATTCCATACGTTGTCGAAAGCACCAGATGAAATTCCTACCAGTCGGTTTGACTGTAGATTCAATGTATGCAGGAAAGGCAAAATTGGAAAGGAGTCCTGGTGTAGACTTGTCAAGAAGTTGTTTTGCAGACTTAACATAGTTGTATTAATAGGCAGATCTTTAGGTACATACCGAAGATGACATCCTGAACACGTGACACTATTCTCTGTTTCTGTACTTGTGACATAGCAACAGTCGAGTAACGCACCTAAAAGTAAATACCAATTAACAATAGAAGGTTAACGTCTGTTGTAGGTGTATGGTCATGTGTTAACAAACGCTTGTGTATCCCAGCACCACACAAAACTAAATAATGGAGTAAAGTTTATGAAAAAAACTTGTATATCTTATTTGAATCTTTCACTTGAGTTAGAAGTCCCAATGAAATATGTTCTTGTATAAAAACAAATCTTTATCAATTCGACACCAAAATCGTTGTTGTAATAATGCGTTCACAATTTGCAGTTGTTTTTAACCTGTGTAAATCAATCTAGATTGTGACACACAATATGAATCATAGTTATATGTAAAACAAGATGGGAAAGCCGTAAAATGGGAATTCTAGATGAATTTCGAGAAATGATTTTGTTGTATGTTTTTCTTTATTTTGTTACATTGTTTTCCCAACATTTTGTATTTTAAGTTAAGCAAATATAATGAAAATTGGCAAGCATTAAATGTACATCACAATGCTTTTAATTTTATGCTTTTAATTATTAAAGTTAGACAAAAATAGATTAAGCTTGAATGTTTTATCAACTATGCTGCATCATGCTCGTAATTAACATCGGTATCGTTGATCTCTCCTCGATTCACAACAAGGTTATTGTTTTAATGTTATTCACGATTATAAGGCATCACAACAGAAGTGATGAAGCCTGTATAATATCTTTTTTTACTTAACTCTGATTAATCTTCAGTTAAGCAAAGTCTAGATATTGATTTAAGTATCATCGGTTATAGTGTCATGGTATCACGTTGGGGAGGGGGTGGGGGTTTCGTTTGTGGACAAAAGCATATGCAATGCCTTTTATGTAATCTTAACTGCTACACTATAGACAGGCGCGGGACGTATTGGTCTCAAAAAGGCATGAATTATATATTGTTCAACCTCGTTCAGTCGGTAATAACATGAAACAAACATGATCGCAGGCCAGTTTATAAGATAATGCTAAATTCGGGTTTTCGCGATATTTGGTACTTACCTGACTGTTGTATTACCCACAGAAAACATAATATCGTCATATAGTCACCGTATTTCATCTTGTCTAATTCATTTACCGTCCAGGAAGTAGTTCCTGACAATCGGGACTTCGTCTAAACACAGTAAATGGCAGTTACACTACTTTTGGTTCCGCTCTATTGAATTGCCAAGGATCATGGCATTTGTTATTATATAAATGTGTTCAAGTTAAGCTAAACTAAGTTTTAACAGCTTGCTCATTTTATCGGACAAAAGTTATTTGAATACTAACCACAATATGGGAAAACGTTGCGTAAGTGAAATTTTGTATTCCAAATTAGCACTTCATTTGTTCAATCAATAATATCAGATACGTTTTGATAACACTTTGTGGAAATCAGGATGACCATATTAAAACAGGAAGTAACACTGTGTTTCGATAGGTTAGGTTTACCTTTCATACGGGCCTTACCTTGGTGGTAAATATGCCATACAATTGATTCAATACTTTAATTTCTATATAATTATCACAGACGAAGGACTAATTCTAAGGAATCTCAAATGTTCTTCAACAACTAGGTGTCCTGATTTTTCTTTACCTTTACAGAACTTATGATCATATAGCGACAGCACAAAAGAGACGATCATAAATCCAGACAAATTTGATAGATAAAATCGATCATGCTGTTAAAGTAAACAATATACGTTTAAATCAGTTCTATTTCTTCCGAGGTCCCGTTTAATAATTAGAACTGAAAGAAAAATTGGAATAGAATGATAAAAATCGCTATCTAAATAGACCATTAAGGGTACATCTTCACACACGATCGAACGAGCCCGTACTAAAATAAGTAGATCAGAAAGACAGCAGTCAGGAAAAAGACCAGTTTTTAATCTTTGTGTACCACTGTCAGGGAAATGATATGGCATTACTAGCAAACATGAATAAAATATTTGGCTATAAAAATATGAAGATCCCAAGAACAGTCGCCACATGCAGTTTATCATCTTCGTCAGTCCCTGGCTGTTGCTGGAAAATAAAACCTCAAACAAACAACGTTGCCTTTTGTTAGTTTTTAATTTACACAAATATTTCATTATATATCGCAAATCTATTATGACAAAGTCCGGACCGCATTTTGTAAATCGTTCTAGCTAGATCTATAGAGAATTTCTGCAAAACAAATATGATATGCTTGTTTAAATGGTAAACTGAGAGTTACGATTTCCATAAGAAAATAAGTAGATGATTTGGTACAGTTTTCCTCAAAAGAATCCAATGAAATCCGAACTTGTGCTGAATACCCCTTTTAACATGCAAGTATTGTATGTATATTAATAATCAAATGAATCTGACACGGAAATGGTCGATAGATGTAATGTCAAAGAATGGGCATGATTAAAATTTACCACCACAAAAGTCGAAGAGCGAGTTTTGAATTAAAAAAACGATGGCAAGGTTAGACGTTCAAAAGGTGCAAAACTAACAAACTGCTGTGAAATATAATATATCTTGCATCTATCATAATATCAGCTATGTCAAATTAATTTGTTTTCGTCCAAAATATGGATTTGTTTTGTTTCCCATCTGGAATCTTTGCTAAGGAAAGATATGGAAATGTCAGTTTTGTGTCATATTATATGTTCCAGCGGATGGCAGCAAGTCAGTTGTAAACATACACTTCGTCGCAATGCCTCTTGAGTAAGGACATTGACAGCTAAGCATGCTTGAATCTAGTAGAGTGTCTTGCCATCATGTTAGTGTTGTGACCCGGGTAAAATACAAGGCGCTTCATACCGCTCAGTTTCGGTTGAACATCAGTCTAGGAAGCCAAAGGTTCCGGTTTCGTATCCTAGCGAAGGCAATGAAATAAATAATGACACCTTTGTAAGAGTATTGTAGTGATGTTTGATTTAGAAATAATCCACATGTAGGCGTTTATCACGTCAAATATCTTTAAGAAATTCAATGTTAAACAAATTATTTGTCGAAAAACTAATAAGCAGTCTGAGTTGCAAGTAAAATGAAATGTTAACTTACACGGTAAAGTAAAAATAATACATTCAGGGAGCAAAATGACTTGTTCCTTTTATTAATATTGGCATGAATGACAACCGAGCACATGATGGTCGCATCAAGTAACGACGAGTGGAAATGATAATTAACTAAGATATGGTACTTTAATATTGCAAATGCTCAAACATTTTCAAATAAAACAAATTACATTGAATCCAAGATTTATGTCTGGGGCTGGCCTGCTTTAACTGACCACTCGGCAACTGACCACAGTGGATACAATATTAACGAAACCAAAACATATTAATGGTAAATTTATTAATGTTTTACGGACGCGGAAAGTATAGAACATTTCCGTTTTCCAAGTGAAAACCCCCGTTTCCCAATGGATATGAACTGCGTGTATTCATAGTGAAAATGAGTTAGTGACGACAATAGCACTAATGTCATCACTTGTTGACTAAGGAACCGATTACAGAAAACATCTAATACCGCAATGCATGTCATACCAGTCCAGGAATGTAAAGCTTATTAAGCCTATAAAGTTATTAATCAGGTATAATTTGTATCGATATATGATCATACACATCTGTTTTCACAAGATTTGTGTAGATTTTTTCCGAATCCATGATTCTACCTTACAGCCAGTACCATCCAAAGAAGTCGTCCATTATAGTCATGTCGCCATCTGATGTATATGTTTTTAATGTTGAAATTACTCTAAACGGAGAAAGTCAGTTTTTCTCCATCTTTTTAAATGTCATTATTGACAGTTAAGTTATGCTTGATTGACTGATACCTTGAAAGGATGTATTCAATAAAGACACGTTATCTATCCTAGTAAATGAAAGAGATCACTTTTGGAGGCGAGTTAGGTCGACGAACGCAAATCCTTCCAAAATGTCTACAGAACGAATATCAAGTTGTGAAAGTTTCGAAAAAACATACCAAGGATATTTTTGCTGCTATAAAAAATATTTCGTTGAATTTTCAGTTCTTTAAATTTTCATAAAGATTTAAAACTTGCCAGATTTATTGAAAGGTACTCAAGTTTGTTGTATGAAAGGTCAACTCTTTCTATGTTCCTAATATTATCAAATGCTCCGTGTAAAATTCTTACAAGACGGTTTCATGGGAGATTTAATATGTTTAGTAAAGGAAGTACTGGAAAAGAATCCCGATGAAGTCTAACTAAATTGTTGACATAGAGATTTGATACCGTTGTATTATGTGGCAAATCCTAGGAAACATCCCGTAGACGACATCCGGGATACGTAATATGATAGGCGTCTTGTATCCCTGTCAAATGGCAACAGTCTTATAATGCATCTAAACAGCACAATTATGATATTAATCTAACATCGCATTTGTTGTAGGTCTTTAATGATAAATTTACCGGCTGGCTATTATTAGTTCTCATGGCAAATTGAAATATGAATATTGCCCGAAAAAAAATCAATCTACACCGGGAGAATTTCGCCCTCGTCTAATTTTTGTCAATGAACAGGGAGGTCGAATTTCAGATGGATGCGAAAATTTGTTTTATTTATATATATATTTTAAAATCGGGCAAAAATATCCCGGTATACTGAAACTTATTCATGTCAATATCATAGTGTAGTACTAAGTGATGGTATCTGTCTGTATTTTTTTAAACAAAGGACAATGGTGATAATAATAGCAGAATACTGTTCACGTAGAACGAGCGTAGGACAGTGATCTGGGAAATCTGGGAACACCGAAAAGATTGTCTATAATGATAAATGTTTATTTACAATAAAACAATAATAGGTGCAGTATATATACCAAAGGCGCTCACTAATTAACACACTCCCAAACGGAAAAATCATCAAATAAAAGTCTAGCTTCACAATGTGTCAGATCCTTGAACGAAAATAAAAAGTTCTGGAAACATACGAAATCGCTGACCCATGACAAACGCTGACGCACGACAAAGCAGCTCCATGCTTAAAAGGTTCACTGTTGGTTGAATCACTCGAGCCAAGAATGACATAACACCTCTTTAAATCATTAGGCAAACCACAACCTCTGCGGGTCACAGATCACGATATTTTGATTTACCTCCACATCAGACATTGACCTCAGCCCGTGCCTTGTCCACCCAGACTCCTGATATTGGATTGGTCTATCCCGATGCTCAATGGGATATAGTTGGTGCCGTCCTGACAATTAAGAGGTAGATCACTGTCCCGTTATGTGAAGCACAGTCAGTCATCTGTGCCTCCCTCGCATGATCATAAACAACGAAATTTGCATAATAACAATAGTTAAGTAAAAGTAACTAACGAAATATACAAAATATACATGCTTACCTGACACCTACTTAACAATGAAGATTATACAAACAAGCGTATTAATTTGTAAGAATCAACAATATAGACATCGCTAAATAGAGCAATTGTACACAGTTTGTTTGACTGCTTTGTTTCTTGAGGTGGGTATCCCTGCATTATATGGGAACTGCCTTACAAACATGCCTGGTGCGTACCATTTTTATCAGTTAGAAAAAAGTGTCTTGTCCGTCAGACCGACCTGTTCCTCAGCTTCATGAGAAACACAATCCACCACGTTATAGGTTGTAAGCATGCTACGAAGTAATATGCTATGTTAAACTTTTTTTATTTTTGATATATATATAAACACTATTTACATGAATATCGTAACAGCAACAGAATACAGAATATAAACACATCATTTCCCATATTGTCTAGATGTCTGCAATACAGGACAAAGTGAATCCGGCGTTAGTGTGGCGGTACTTATTGTCTGAAGTCAATCTAAACAATTTAGTAACGTATAACACATTTTATCTATCAATTACATCAACAAGTGTGTAGAACGCTTATTAAGTTTTCCTGTTGAACATCGTATATCGTTACTATAACAGTATTCTGATATACTGAAAGATTACTGTCATCCGACAAATTCTTCCTGTTGCTAAAAATACAACCATTTTTCATGCCTCCTAATTATAATTGAATTAGCCTGGTTGATTCGTGGTTTCATCATTGAGGTTCAACGATCAATTTCGAGTATGGAAAT